CGGGGCGGGAAGCGTCGGCTGGGCCCTCCCCGGCACGGCCCGGGACCCCCCACCCGCGGTTCCCCGTTACCTGCGGCGTCCGTCAGCGTCTCAAAGTGCTGCTTGAGGAAGTTTTCCTGCTCGGGGGTCTGGGGCAGGGAGCTGCTCTGCGGGGGGTTCTCCTCCGGCTCCTCCACCTCCCCGGTGTATCCCTCGTCTGCCGGGACAGAGCAAGAAAAAAAAAAAACGAAACACGACAAGCGTTAACACCAGGTGAGTTTTATTCTGAGTGTCCCCCCCAGCCAAAGTTTTCCTCTCAGTTATGAGGGTTTTGGTGCCGCCGTTACCTTCAGGCTGGTCACCAGGCCCCAGCGTTTCCGCCGGGGCTGTGGGGTGCAGCGGCGGCAGCTCCATCAATCGCTCTAAACTGGGATTAAGATTTAAGGGATCGGTTTTAAGTCACGCCTAAAAATTTTCCCTCTCCAACCCCATCCTGGTGCTTTCCAAGCCAAAAAAACCTCAGATTTGGCTCGAAGGGAAAAGCCACAATAGGGGTGAGGGGTCAGCAGGGCTCGGCGGGTTTAGCAAAGCCCAGACTAGCAGGGGGAGGGTGGTTTAACCCCGATAAAGGCGGCGTTTGCTTCTCCATCCAGCACCGACCTGCTCAGCGCCGGCCCGCGCGGCTCCTCCGGGCTGCTCCCGGCCGCATCTGGTGATTCCCATTCCCCGTCGCTCTCCTCATCCAGGAAAAGCTCCGAGAACTGGAAATCCTCACCGGGGCCGCGGGGGGAGGCCTCAGCCTGCCAGAGACGGATTTTTTTTTCCCCCAGAAAAACGGGAAACGCTGTCGGGCAGGGACGGTTTAAACCCAGAGCTCGGCCCCACCGCTGACCTCCGCCAGGAGATGGTCCAGGCTGCCGGGGTCCGGCTCCGTGTCGCCTTTGAGGGGGGTGAAATAAGGGGGGTCCGACTCCGGCAGAGTCTTGATGGGGCCCCTCTGGGCGCGCTCTGCCCATCGCCCCCGCGGCCGGTAGCTGCGGGGAGGGCCGGCGGCCGCCCTGTCCCCGTCCTCCGCCTCTCCCAGCTGGAAAAAAGAGGAGGGAGGAAAGGGGGCGCGGTGGAGACGGGGCGAAGGGATCTTTGTTAGAGCGAAGGGATCTTCGTTAGGCGCCGTTTGATTAAATTTAACTCTCGATGGGGCGACTTACCAGCCTCTTGGCCCACATGGGCAGCCTGCCGTTGGTCAGGACGCAGGCGGGCGCTGGAGGGGGAGAGCGGGGTCAGGAGCGGCCCCGCGGGCAGAAAATCGGGGTGCAGCCGGGGGGGACACACACGTACGCGGCTCCGAGTCCTCCTGAGAGGGGGTTTGTGGGGACGGAGCCTCGTCCTGCTCCTCCAGGGGCTCCTCCCGGGGCGCCACCGTCCCACCAGGGAGGGTGACGTTGGTCTGGGGCCTGGAGGAGGGGAGAACGCTGGGGCCTGACCCCGCCACCACCACCCGGCCCCCCAAAGGGCCAAAGCGGGGTGCGATGCGGGGGTGAGGGGCTTTACCCGAGCTGCGCTGGGAGATCCGGCTCCTCCTCCCGCTGGGGCTGCAGCGGGTCGAGCTCCAGCAAATGCTCCCTCATGCTAGTGGTGATCTCGGGGCCCAGGTGCCAAATAAAGATGCAGCTGGGGGCAGAAAGGCAGGTGGGGGGGGCCGGGG